AATTTTAATGATCGACATAAATTCGTTATAAGCAAGTTCCAGATGTCAGTGCAATTTTCGAAGTAGTTTTTAATATTAATTTTTCATAAATTTTGTCATCTTAGTTAATGATAGTTATTCCATGTCAGGACGCAAGGTCAATAAACATTTTATTTCTTTGTGACATACTACGTACATCAGTATACATCAATATTTACCAGTCAGATGAACCAATACTTTAACTGCAACTATTTATTGCTACTAAATGAATAGAAAAAGAAAGAAGATGAAAAAAAAAAAATTGCGCTGAAAAAACTCAGCGTCTACTGACTCAGCAACGGATACCAAAAATCGGTTCCCAGTCTTCATATTTTGAAGAAAAAAATATTATTTGTCGATCCCACTTTAAATCTATCTGTCATCGTTGCCCCCGCTCTAAACAGATACTGAGAATTTTATTCCACACAACATTTTAGCTAAGACCTAGATTTTCGCCATCATGTGCTTTATTTTTAGAGAGTGTTTTGATTAGAATTACAAAAAAAAAAAAAAAATTGGATAGTTTTTGGAGCTTAAAAAAAGGTCTTCAATGCGAATTGATGGAAAATGACTAAAAGTGGTTTAAGGGGAACCATGCCATTAAGTGTCCCAGGTAAATATAGATTACAGATTGACAAATCACAAATATAATAGTGATTGTGGTAAGTAAGAAATGAACTCCTTAGCACGTCAAGTTCTGTGCATAACTTACACGCTTGAACAATATCAATGTAAAATCACTGTAAGTGCACCACTTAAAAGACAATGATCTTTGTCGCCCTTGACGAGGTAAACCGCAGAGACATCTCTGTCCCAGCCATAAAAAAGATGAAATGACTGATAAGCATATGGTAAGTACAACGGATATCATTCCTAATTTTTTTGCGCACGTACACGAACCGAGTTGCAAAAAGATAGCTAATTCCATTTTTGTAGAGCGTTTATTGCCTATTTTTCTAGTTTATTCTCTTCATCATTTGCTTATAGCATTGACTGAGAATTTTTTTGCGCATTAGATCCCAGGCTTAAGTTGCTAGTGATTAAAGACAATTTTATATAGGAAGACTTAGCGCTACTTTCCATAAATTTGGTGTCAAATTGCTTTTTAAAGTAACAAATTTCACCTTGACTGTTACTTTTGAGCTGTTCAAATTGCGAGCTAAGTATAACAGAAGCATAAATGAACAATAGCCTCCATTTGGCGCGAAAATATGCACGGATATTTATCAGTATCAGTTTATAATCTTTTAATTTCGCGCGGGCGAAATGTTTACCGCTACAATTTACTGACTGCTGCTTGGGATGCTTATTTTTCAGTGTTTTCTGGTACGATTATATGAAAAAACACGCACGTCTCTTCTTCTTTAAGAATAGCCAAACGTTCTCTCACCTTGATTTAAATTTTAAGTGATGGCTTCTATCGTCACGGTAGTAGACCTAGGGTTTGAAAATTGCGGAATATCACTTTGGGTATATCCTTGGAAACCCCAGATTTAGCTGGACATATTTGATCATGTGATGCGTTTAGACCAATCGCTCGCAAGAAAAAATATTTGATGGATGATAGAGAATAAACATTTAGTAAGCACCTACCCTTCTCCCCATTGCCCTTCGAGCTTTATACTCATCACCAATCGCTCGCGCCCGTTGCCTGCAGCGGGTAACGCTTGGGAAGGAATCAGTATTGGGCTTGGTCAGTGAACGAGTGTTTTCAAACAGATGTTCACCCAAACCCACCAATGCTGTCTATCAATAAATTAGCTTGGCTTGGTAAACCTACCATGTAAGACAGACTTTGTAATTTGTCGATTTGCCTTTTCAGTTTGATAGTTAAAGGAAAATTGTTTATTGTTTTTCGATCACACGGACTGTTTCATTTCAATTTGCTAAAAGATGTCAGCAGAAATCCCATCGTCATCATCGTCACCACATCCCTCTTTCAAGTCAACCGCGATGTGTGGTCAATTCCTGTTGGTGGAGTTTCTGATATTTTTTGCCGTTTTCTTGGTAGGCTTTGCAAGCAACGTTTTGTTCATTTTGGCAAGTTATAAGAAAGGGAATAATTCTAAATACCAGAGCAAGAACCACAATGACTATCTGGGTCACTGCTCCATTGCAAACTTGATCTTGATGGTCAGAATGCCCTTGGATATCATCAGCTTCACAACAGATGGATCTTGGTTTTTCGGGGAGTTTTTCTGCAGGTATATCCGAGTTTTAATAACGTTCCACACACTCAATATGATAATTTCAATCTACTTTCAAAGAAACTTGACTAAAGTGCTCTTGTTCGTTCATGATGAGTTCTTCTCAATGTAACTTGATTAATTTCAAAATCTTGTTTTTGCTTCACTATTAATTTTCTTGTAGTCTTTTCTGAGATATGCATCCGTACACGTGACTGAGATAACTCGCCAACTTTCAGTTCTGTTCAATCACTGATCAGGATTTGTAATGTGCTGTTATCGCGAATATGTTTTTATTTTCTATCTTTTTCCNATTTTGGCAGCTGTCTCAAATACTTTACGCTAGGGTCA